CCGTGGACAGTGAGTGTCTGTGGTGTGGACTCTGTCCTGGCCTCCATCTCCAGGAGCCTCTGCCTGGTTTTCTAATAACATTGATGTAAAGCGAGGTCCTCGATGCCAGACCCCGATAGGCAGTAAAATGAGCTTTACTGTGAGCCTTCCTTTAACTAGAGGCAGCCCTACCCTGAAGAGCATGTCCGGCTTTAAATGCCTTACTGAATAGAACTGCAAGATTTATTTAATTTTCATACGATTTCCTTTTGAAAGAGAGAGGATGGGATGATAGACTCTAGAGGGAGCACCTTCAGGACATTCCTATGAATCACTGGGCACAGTGCAGCCTCGGTAGGTAGACAGCGCTGTTTCCTGTACACCACCTGCCTTAGGCTGTGGCTTTGTAAATGGGAAGGGATCAGCACAGCGATGGGTTTATGTCCTGGGAAGGACACATCAGAGGCCATCTGAAAAGCCGGTTGGTGGGCATCCCAGCTGTGTGATGTGCGCCAGTGGAAAACGCCATGATGTTCTGTGATGATGTATTTTAACGCCTAGATATGGAGCTCTTCTTTTATGTTAGGGGACACATCTTACAACCCATGGACATGTGGTCAGGGCCGCTTCTTACATGGGCCCACGGAGGTGGTTTCTGTGGCGGTGAATAGAAAAGACAAGGCCAGGAACACAAAGGGCACAGGGGTCAGGTCCGGGCCCTCGGATGCCTCAGATCAGCAGGAGCAGCTGCTTCTACCTGAGAAGAGCTTCTGCCTGAAAGTCAGACTTTCACGTGCTTAGGAGTGTCTCTTTTACTCTTTGTTTTCTTGTGGTGGCTTGGGTGTTTTTGTTTGGTTTTGTTTTTAGAATTTGCCTGACTTGTGCGTGTCAGCTCTAATGTAAATACTGTTTAAAATATCTTATTATGATGTGGCCATCACCATTCTTAAATGTCTATACAAGACAGATTTTTCAACCAGATAGCAATATGCACAACCAAAAGTTATTTTCTCTTAAATTCTTTTTTTTTTTCCCCTTTTAAATTCTTAATCTCAGGCAAACAGAGATGAAGCAAAATCAGGAATATTTTTGTCTTGAAAATATCCATGGGATGGCTCGTGTGGGTTTTGAGATTATTTGTTCATCGTTTTCTTTCTCTGGTTGTTTTTACCAATAGTATCTTTGGAATAGAAAAGGGTATATATATATATATATATATATATATATATATATATATATATATATATCACCAAGCATTTTATTGAATGCAGCTTTACACCCTTAGCCGTCCAGAGGAGCTCAGAAGAGCGGCGTTGCTATTGGTGGTGGTAGCTGTCAGGGAGGCAGGCAGGGCGCGAGGTGACTGGCATTCTGTCCGACCCCACTCCGCTCCCGGCACCGCGCTGAGAGCGGGAGCCTCCCTGAAAGGGAGCTGAGAGGCCGTTTCCATGGAAACCCAGTCAACCTCTTCTGCGGTTTCCAAACCCGGGCTGTGCAGCACGAGCTGCCGTCCGATTCTGTCCGCGGGAGACGCTGCTGGTCCCACAGCACTTCCCTTCGTGGAAAAGGCAGGCTCCTGCGTGGCGCATGCACATGGCATGTTTGCAAATGGATTTCACACCACTCCCATTGTCGAGGACCCTGGAGCCGACTCTTGGGTTAGATGAGCAGCCACTTCCCCATCCATCCACTTCGGAACGTTGTATGTTTTGAATGTTGAGATCTCTTAAAGCTAGGAACTCTGTATGTTCAGTCACATAATAATGGATGCCAAGAGCAGTTAGAAGGAGGAGTCGTTGAAAAACCATTCTGGGCTGCCTCGTGTGGTCTAGAAGCACCACCTAAAGATGGAAAGGCTGAATTACTACCCAGAAAACCAGGGCTGGTTCCTTCAGGGAGACACAGCCGGTGTTTCCAGCATGTGCTCTGGACGCTGGTGATGGGAATTGAGGAGGCTGAGGGCAGCCTGGACTCTGGGCTCACGGGAGCCTGTGCAGGCAGGAGGGCAGGAGGAGAGGGCATCGGGCCCAGGAGGACGGTGAACCTGCCAGTCCAACGCGTTCCGCACATGCCTTCATGTGGCCAGCAGGCGGCACCCGGGATGTTCACCCCACCTGCCCACCACGAAAGCCTGGAAATGAAAACAAACCTTTTGAGAGACAGAGGCCTCTTTCCTGTGATTTCTTTTTTCTTTTTCAATACAGTGAAAGCTCTAAAAATGAGCAAAATCAATATCGTTTTATTTCCATGATGAAAATGGACACTTTTTAAAACTTTCTTTTTAACTGAAACTGGTTTTATTTTAAAATTAAGAGCATAGCCCTCCTCTAATTCGGTTGGTGTAGACTGCAGCACCACACCCGCCATTCGCGATTAGTCTCGGAGCGCAGATGCGTTTGTGCTTGCAGTCTGCACCTGAGTAACGTTTATTTAGTGACCTTTCGTGGAACCCTCCATATGTATCATTAATCTCTTCACAGTACCCACTTAATCATGGTCCAGTAATCTCAAAAAAAAAAAAAGCCCTACTTTAAAGACTAATCAATAAATTAAACAAAACGAAACCCACACAAGGTCTCCCCACCCCCAAAACTAGCAGTTGTGAGTTGTGTTTCTACTGAAACCTGTTTTGAAAGTGGTTCTTCATCCATCCCACCCTGGAAACACAGCAAGAGTCATCAGTTATTTTATTCTGCTCTCCCAAAATATTGTTAATCCAGTGTTCTTCAGCTTTTCAAGATACAAGTGAGAAAGTGTTATTAATTAGTTTTTTTTTAAAGGCACATTCTTCTATAGCAAGAAGGACATATAAACCAAGCCATAAAAGTATTTGGCAGGACATTAAGTTATCACAGGCACTGGTTAAAACACCTGTTTTCTTATCAAACAGTGGATTATACATTAATAAATGACATTTAAACACGTAAAAACTACCACAAAAAATTTATAAGTAGTGAAAATACGATTTTCACTCAGTTATTTGGCTACAATACCTCACTCTAAATTTGAGTGGAAGAATCAACTTCCTTCTGTCCCAACAAAAAAGAACATCTCAAAAATGTTTAGCCATATTAAAATGAGTACATTTTAAATAAATGTTCACTATGTACTTGATTTAGAAATTTTAAGAATCTTTTTCTCAATCAAAAAGTAATGCTAAGAAGTATATATTAGTGGCTGGTAGGAAAAACTTGTTTCATGATACATTTTTAATACAGATACTTGTACCAAGATTAGCTTCTCCTGGATAGAATGATTTTTGTTGCTTTCAAATGTGCTTCCATATGTGAGTGTACGGGTTTGGAGTTTAACCACGTAAGGTGTTATTTGAAAAATCAGCTAGTTAGGTTCAGTCCTTAATTTATTTTTTTGGACGGTATTTACTTAGCAACTGACTGAATAGTCTTATGATCAAACTTTAAATGTGTGTAAACAGCTGTCACTTTAACAAAAATCAGGTCTAACAGTTGGATTTGGAGTTGTTGCTCATGATATTCAGAGACTGTCAGAAGTCCCTCATCACTGTTCTGCCTCAGATTCCTCTTTTAAAGACCCCAATTCGCCTTAGGCTAAAGGGCGGTGGAAGGAGCACCCCGAAGAACCCTCCAGTCTTCTTCACTCTGCACCTTCTCACTCTCCCCCGGAGCAGGTCATAAATTCGACTTCTCCTCTAACATGATATGGAAAACATCAATTTCAATACCCTGAGATCTAGACTTCCGTTCCCTTTCTTAGGACTAAAGGAGAGTACTGAAAACCGTTTACACATTGAATTGTCGAAATATGACATTGATATACTTAAAATCAGGCCAGCTTCATGTATTTCCACTCTAATTCCCGACACTCTCCTCTGATCTCGAGAAAGCCCGCCTGTAAGCAAATGCTTTGCTGTCCTGGTCTCCGCCCCCAATATCCACAGTGGCTTTCTGAGTGGAAAGCAAATTGAAATCTAGGAGCAGGAGACACGCAGTAAATGTTTTTAAATTGCAATTCCTGATCTCGACAAGAATTCAGGTGCTCGCTGAGGCGGGATGTGGCATGGACTGTGCGCTGATTCTTCCTACTAGGAATAATATTGTGCACTAAGTTGCTTTATCCTTGTCATTTTTGGAGAGATACAAATGTAACAGAAGTGAGGATTTTTTTCTTAATTTTTACATTCACGGTGGGTGCAAATGCAACTGAAACAGCTCCAAGTGAAAATGTGCTTGCAGTGCTGTCTTGTTCTTGAGACAGCCTAGTGAAGAAGTTATATGGAGGGCAATATAATTATAAAGCTCTTTTTATAAAAAATTGTCTGATTAGGGAAATGTCAAGACCTAAATGAGAAACAGGATGGGGTCACCTGGATGGGCTTCCGCAGCTGAGCGTGTGTGCCCACGAGCTGCCCAGGGCTTCTCCGCGGGCTGACCTGGTGCATCTAAACTGACCTGTGTTCTTCTCATGTCAGTCAAGAGTAGCAGCTATTTCCAGGTGTATCAGAGCCGCCTGAGAGCACAGCAGCCATCTGAGACTGCTGGCCCAGACGCGGGCTGCTGCCCTCACTGCTCCCTGGGGTCACTCAGGCTGGTCGCAGCCCCAGCCAGTCCATATAAGGGGCACCTTTGTAGTGCTGGGGTCTGCGTTCAGACTAAGACCATTCCTCAGACCTCGGTGCACGCCTCTTCATGGGTGAGCCTGGCTTCGTGTGTGCGCTGGTGTAGTAACAGGCCCTGTGGTGGCCGGCCCTGAGAACACGGGGAGAAAAGGCGGGCTGTTTGGGGGGAATACGGATTCTAGAGCGAGCAGCCCAGGGACCAAAGCGCAGCGTCTGCTCCGGAGACTGTGGGGCGCTGAGCAGCCAGCTCCCAGGGCTCTGGAAGGTGTGCGTGTGGCCGCGGCCCTTCCGGCTCCACCGGGGAGCTTCCCGCTCCGCTCAGCCTCTTTCAAGTAGTTAGTCTGCTTTGGGGATTAAAAAAAGTTACTTGTTCAGGGAATTTTCTTTCTTTCCATGTTAACACAGTTTGCATTTTTGATGGCAGGTGCCCCACGCCTGGCTGTGACGGCTCCGGACATATCACCGGCAATTACGCTTCTCATCGGAGGTGAGTGGAGATGCTGCTTTTGTCTCCAAAATGCTCTTTCTCACTGAAACGACAGGACTAGCGCTCACTTCAGGTACCAAGGCTTGCACAGTTTGATACCATGGGCAAAATTCAGGATCTAAAGACTCTTAGTGCCAGAACACAGTGGCGTCTGCACTGGAGCTTCACTGAGAAAGCAACCCCTCCATTTCCAGGGCCACCGGCTCCTCTCAGGATATCTCACGTGCCGTGCATGGGGCCCCACTGGGAAACAGTCCTTGTCACCCAGCAGTGCTTCTTTCTAAATTGGAAGAGGAAAGGAAAGAGAATAGTATCTGCTATAGGATCCCTGAGAGCAGCCGTCTAATACCATGAGAGTTGGCCTCTTAAATATGAAGATTGGCCCCCAGAGCTGCAGGCATTCTAAGCAGGCCTCACATGTACGGTTATCCTCAGCAGGCGTCAGTAGAGTTCAGAGCTGCGGAAGTGCTTATGTTACAAAGTCTAGGCACTGTCACTCCCAAGGAGAGGGGTGTGTCTAAAACATAATACAGAGATTTGGTCATGTGAGATGACAACCTTTCTATCCTACCTGACGTTCAGTAAATACTGAATGGACGTGGATTTAGGACAGGCACTGTTTAGCTGAGAATTAAAAGAAATGGGAGAACTATTAGAGAACAAGTTTGCCAGTTGTTAAAGGTGGTACATGAGGACTGTTCTCGGGGGTGTGGGTGTGGCAAGGGTTGCAGGGACCCCGCAGCGAGTTCGGCCGTGGGGAGACTGGATTCAACTCCAACCCTAGTGAGGCCAGGTGGGAATTTACAACCGAGGAGCTGTACCAAGGTTGGGGTCAGTGGATAGAAAAGTCCCCACGAGAAGCATCAAGGAGAAGGGATTTCTGGCCGAATGGACTTGATGGGGTCACTGCTGACGGCCGGCCAGGGTGGTAGGATATCCAAGGACTCAGACACTGAAGATGGGAATTTTTCTTAAACGGACTTAGAAGGATTCTTGCTCCTGCTGGATCCTACAAGGACAGAGGGAAGCCAGGGTCAGGCGCGTTCTAGTGAAGGACTCAGAGGAGCTCAACTAAAGTTTTGGTGAAGAAAAAAGCCCTTGTGAATATATTGTCCACACAAAGGTGAATCTGCTACACACAATACATGTTTAAGTCACGTTTAGGTGTACCAGCAGCAAATGCCAAGGTAAGGACAAGAATATTTCTGAAAGACCGATGTAAAGGAAGTCTCCCGGTATGGGACACAGTCCTGCGTCTGTCAAATAAATAAACTAAGCTGTCAGGCGGCCGCTGCCTTCCGTCTCTCTAAGTTTTAGATGATAAAGTAGGCAGTCCAGCAGCAGGTGGGGCCTCCTGCTTTTAACATACTGCTTGCAAGAAAAAAGAAAGAGGAAAAAGAAGGAAGGAAGGAAAGAAAAGGGGGAGGGGGGAGGGGAGGGGGGAAGAGGAGGGGGGAGGGGGGGAGGGGGAGGGGAGGGGGAGGGGAGGGGGAGGGGGAGGGGAGGGGGAGGGGGAGGGGAGGGGGAGGGGGGAGGTGGAAAGAGACAGAGGGGAGCAGGGAGGGAGGGAAGGGAAGCTCGGAGAGTTAAAGAGAGTGTCAGCCGTTGACAATGGCCCCCGCCCCCCCAGGACAAGGCTGTCTGCAGAGTAGCTGTGTGAAACCCCCTGTCTGTCCCTGAGTGACCAGTTCCCTGTGGTCAGAGTGGGGGACCTCACCTGACTGGCTGGTGTTTGGATTAGAAGCAGAACTCAAGGGCCGATTGTTTTGTCATGAAAATCTCACCGAGAGTGACTTGCTCCTGTGCTCACATGCCAGCCGTTTGGGAGCTGTGTTTAAACAGCATGTGTCTATGAAAAGCGTAAACTGTGGATGCCACTGAGGAAACATGGAGCATGCAACTCGTGGGAGGTTTCCCCAGACTCAGTGCAAACGCCTTACGCCCCCGACCCGGATTCCTCAGCCTCTGTAGTGCCGGCTGTGGGGGCAGATGGCCGTTTGCCGTGGGGACCATCCTCTGCACTACGGGACCCATGCGGCATCCCTGGACCTCACCCACCAGATGCCAGTAGCATCCACCCTTCCCTGAGTACCAAAGATGCCCACAGTCACTGCTGAGTTCCCCTTGGGACACCACGGCCACAGGCCAGGGCAGCAGAGGGCTCATTACATCGATGTGCCCCCCTGGGCAGCACAGAAACAGCCTCTACACTCGGCTAGAACGAGAGTGAGTCGTGCCTTCCACAGGACTGCCAGAGTTAGATCACTGGTTTAGAGTAAATAAAAATGAATTAAAACTCCAATTCGATATACATAGACAAGCACATTCCAAGCTAGACTGTATTCCATCTTAGAAAAGCAACGCCACGGTCCCCTCACGTGGCCAGAGCTTCCAGTATGGCATCACGTCAGCAGCTCTGGAAGAACACTTCCTGGTCATTTTGTGTCCAAATCTCCGTTTTTCTACTGATTTTTTTGGTGGGGCGTTGGCCTCATGTAAATTTAGTCATAATGTGGTTTAAACATTTTATTCATTTTACGTCTGTTAAGTATTAATATAGCACAGACCCATGATGAAAATCTAATCTAAGCTCGAATGTGAGCTGCCAGCTATTCCTGGAGTGAATGATCCCAGGTCAGTCCACAGAGATGAAAAGCAGATGTGCTTTTGTATTGGGTGAATCTGAGAAGGAGAAGGAGCCCTCTCGGGGTTCCAGTGGATCGAAGGTACAGCACCTTGTGAGGTGACTGGTTCTAGTAACAGCCTCCCCAGCATAGACATCGGAACATCTGACACAGACGTGCCAAGCAGAAGCGCCGCCTTCAGCTAACGCTTCTTACGTGAAGTCACCGCGAAGGAATGATGGAGGCCACCGTGAGGCCAGCGTGGTTCTGTGTCAATGGGCTGCTGACGACGGATGCCAGCCAGCAAACAGGGAAGCTCGTCCAGGACTGTCGGCGCTTGGTGGCCAGAAATCCGAGTGGGAGGGACTTCTTTTCATTTTAATCTCCGGTTTCCCAGGAACAGAAACATAAGGTTACGTATATGCAGCTCTGGAGAAAACGTCACTCAGACAGTGATTCCCTGGCATTCTTCCCTCACTTGTGCCACAGTTCAAGGTAGTTGTGTGGGTTCAAGGCATCCTCCCCCCATGCTGGGGTCTGTCATGAGCGCTGAAGTCACAAAACAATGATCCTGAACGTGCTCGGGGCACGGATCTGCCTCGCACACCTGTGGTGTCTGGAATTCTCCCTCCTGCTCCAGGACAAACGCACACACTCCAACTCTGTCTGCAGTCACCGTGTCGCCAGCGCCCTTCTGAAAAGCGAGGCCGAGCCCCGGCCTTCTCCTGGGCCCGTTCTGGGAATCAGGCAAAGAGCTGTTCTCCACTGTCCACAGCTGCGCTGAGCATTCGCAGCTTCGTTCACTTTTGGGTTTGAGGAAACTGAGGGGCCAGGAGGTGAAGCAGCAGAGCTGCGCTGAGCCCACATCGTCTGGCTCCGAGTCCCAGCTACTGGCAGCCCACGTGCCTAGGATGCCCTGGAGGAAGCATGTGCCTGAGCCGCCTGGAGAAGGCGGGGGCTGCACCTGCCTCTTGACGGTGGTGTTTCCGGGCCTCCACATGGTGTCTGAGACATCCCTAGGTCCATTTCAACAGATGTCCCTTGGTTGGGATGTTCTATCAAACGATCCTCCATCCACCGCTTTGCCAACTCTCCATCGTCAGTGAACAGACCACGTACCTACAAAGGCATCCACCTCGTTCACAGTCGTCCGGGGCCCCTCTTTGCACTCGTGTCTTCAACAAACAGAAGTGTTTCTTGAGTATATCCTCAAAGTCCTGTTTTCCAAGCACCTTTACTCTGTTCTCCAGCCCTCCCAGGCCCTCTCCTTCCCCCATAGCTCCGCAGCAGGGTCCTGCCAGGCAGGCTTGCCGAGGGCTGCTCCCCGTTCTCTCTGCCCAGCCGACCCACATGCCTTCCCATGGGATCTGACAAGGAGCAAGGGCTCCAAGAGCCCTAAAGTTGTTCTGGTGCAGGAGCCAAGCCCACATTTTCCACAAATGACGATGCTCCAGGAATCCGATCCCCACTAACACTCTGTGCCCCCTATGGCTCCAGAACGGCCTCTAATCACGAAAGAACATTCACTGGGCACCTGCTATGTGCCAGAAATTACAGCAAGCATTTCACATGTATAATCTCACCACCAGCTGTGATGATTGGAACCCTGACTGCAGGTAAAGACGCGCGGGCACGGAGATGCTCAGCTGCCCGTCCATCAGCGCCCATCCCGTCAATGCCTGTCCCATCAGCGCCTGTCCCGTCAGTGCCCATCCATCAGCGCCCGTCCATCAGTGCCCAGTCCATCAGTGCCTGTCCATCAGTGCCTGTCCATCAGTGCCTGTCCAGTCAGCGCCCGCACTCACCCGGAGCACTTGCACTGTGCTGTTCTACAATCATGTGCAAAATCAAAAGTGGGCAAAGGATACGAACAGACACTTTACAAAAGAAGACATACGGGAGGCCAATAAACATATGAAAAAATGCTCATCATCACTGGTCATTAGAGAAATGCAGATCAAAAACACATTGAGATACCATCTCACACCAGTTAGAATGGCGATCATTAAAAATCTGGAGACAACAGATGCTGGAGAGGATGTGGAGAAATAGGAACACTTTTACACTGTTGGTAGGAGTGTAAATTAGTTCAGCCATTGTGGAAGACAGTGTGGCGATTCCTCAAGGACCTAGAAAGAAATTCCATTTGACCCAGCAATCCCATTACTAGGTATAAATAATAATAATAATAATAATAATAATAATGTTGCAAAATCAAAGCCTCCAGGAGTGCAGTACAAACGGCCGGACAGGTGTCTACCTACGCTGCCCCCTGTGCCGTGGGGACGCTAAACAGGGGTCCCAAAGGCCTCATCTGCTGTGAAATGAGGCATCACCAGGTCCTGAGGCAGACGGAGGCAGGCTTGACGTCATGCA